TGTGTCCATGACTGTAATAGGAATATTTCTGTCCAGTATTTGATTTCATGGCAACACTGGTAATGGCTGTATCTTTTTCTTACAGTGTTCAGTGAAAATATCGCAATGCATCGCAATATTTCAAGTATCATGATGCATCGTGATAGAATTGCATCGTGGCATGTGAATCCTGATTCGAATCGAATCATGACTTCTTTGCCAATACCCACCCCTATGCGGGAGTATAACCAGCCCTAACTTCATACAGCTATAGTTTATACTAAAGTGAGACTTCTATTTTGTACTCAAAATAGTGTATTTTTAAATGATATTTTTAATCTGCTCATCCTGCTCTGTCATTTGGAAGTCAAGTAAAAATACAGTAACCTGTTGTATTCTAACCTGTACGAAACAAACTTAGTACCGAGTAGATGTTTTATTATAAAACATATATTGATTTATATTTTTTAAAGTGTTTCTTCCACCTGATATAGTTAGTATCTAATTAATGTATTTTATTTTTTCATTAGTTTTATTTCGTTCTTTGAAACACAAGAATCTACAGATAATGCTTTAAATATCTTTACATCATTTGTTGTAATATAAGATGTTATGGTATTAAGTAGATCAGTTACTCAGTACCTAAGCTAAAAAAGTAGCCTTTTATGCAAACACTTTTTTCTCTTACTTGAGTATTTTCTTGGATGTCTTTTTCAAATTCTTACTAGAGTAAAAACATGATCAATTGGTTCAGAGTTCAGATTAAAAGAAGCTGTTTGGATCTATTTTGTGATGTTAGGGCAGGAAAAAAAAATTGCCTGGCAGTAGTTGAACAGTGAGCATAGAAAATATTCTTTTTACCTGATTTTCCATCCTCCTCATACTGTCTGGTGTCAGGATTACTATGTGCCAACATTTGTTTACATGCATTAGTTTGTCTTTAGCTTCTCTTTTCAGCAGAACTTTTCTTCATGAGTGCGAATGACGCACGTTAGTTTAAACCTGGTTTTATTTCAGCAATTATTCTTGCAAACATTAACCCTTAAAAGAAAACAAGCTCTTAGCTCTCAGATTTAGAAAATAGTTTTAAATCAAACAAAAACTGAAATGGTCACAAGATTATCTGACTTGTACATCAAGCATTTGTCCCTGACCTTAATCCGATTTTTACTGAACTCAAAACATAAAAAGTACATCCAGGAAGATTTTTATTCATGTTTATAGAATGGATTGTTAAGTTTTAGATTTGAGGGATATAATGAACAGGTTAGAGCTGATCAGAAGAAAATTCAGATTTTAATCCTAACTGAATTATTCATTTATTGCTAGTTATAAAAACTAAAAGATGTCCTTTATTTAAACATTTGTTGAACATAATGTTTTCTAAACAACCAATAAATCTATTATATTTGTTTACTCTAGGGTCAGTTTTTCCTTCAAAGCAACATAATATATGAGGGAACATGTTGTTAAAGAGGTCAAATCTAGGTTTAGATATCACTTTTGACACTAGTTTATCATATTTTTACAACGACTGTAAAATCTTTTTTTCACTTACAGGTTTCGGTAGAATATGGCCACAAAGAGGCCATAATATTAGCTCAGAGTCGTACTGTATTGATTCATAACAATTATCTCTGGATCCATATGTGGAAACCATGGATGAATTATGTGCTATATTTATTTAGATAATGCTACTTAAATTATTTTTTATTATATTAATAATGTTTTACCAAACCTAGGTTTGGACAAACATGAATAAAGAAAGTGTGGGTTCCTTATCTTTGCAATATTCAGCATGTTTTCCTGACGTTCGACCAAGTGGGGATACATATACCTTTCTAAATAGTTTATTAAATCTAACAAGCATTTAAAAAAAGATGGATGTCACCTTTGCCCCAGAGTGGAGGTCTGTTGAATTTAATATCTTTCATCTTTATTTTTATTTCTGTATATTTCTGTTTTGTTTCTCTATCGCATGTAGAAAGACACTATCTATTTCCAGATATTGTTCAGAGTACATCAGATGTCTGGAGTTAGATTTAGGCCACAGAGTGAAAGACGCTCGCAGCTGTGCTCTCAGGACTGATGCTTTCAGGTTCCTCTTTGCTGGTTCTGATCTGAGGGTGACCTCTTGAAGCACACTGCACTGTAGGTCATTCACTAACACGTCTTTCTCCGCACACCACTGCATTTCTGTGGCAGGATTACGGTGGGATACAGATGACTTTTTCAGTGGAGTCTTGTTAGGAGTGATCGATATCTAATATTGAGGCTTATTTGTCTCCTCTCTCCAGACCTGCCGCCCTCCTCCCTGCAATACCAGTGCGGATCAGTGGACTACTTGTGTTCTCCACGACTGGCAAAAAAAGGCCCAACCACCAGACCATGTCCCGACAAGCCCGCAATCAAGCCACGGCCCCAGACCTCCACCTTACCCAGACCACCGACTGCTCAGAAACCTCAAGGTAAAATCCCATGATACAGAGTGGCCCCTGTTATTGTAATTGAAGGCTGCCTGCAGGATCAGACCCCTGCTATTAACCTGTCATTGCTTCTGCTCTGAAAAACCTCTGTTCTCTGTGCGGCCTCACTCTGCCACTCAAGCTGTTTAGTGGGTCATTGCTGCAGGAGCAGCTGGTGGAAAAGGAGGCCACTGGTTCCCAAGTGTTTTTGTTTTGATTACATCTGAAGAATGAGAAATATGAACAACATGTGCTGTGTTTAAAGAGTTTCTGAGGAGCAATACTGGGACATCACACTGCAGACCAATTTTCTAAAGGCTTCCTATGCCAAGAGGCAGGCTGGGATAAAGCTTAGTTAACCATAAAAATCAGTCTTTTTAAATGGTGACAACTCCAAAACAAAATCCATGTTTGGAAGATCTGAAGATATAGGAAAGATCCATAAATTATGATGTTCCGTTTGACTGTTTTCATGGGTTTAACTAGATACTGTACAAAGACTTCAAAATAGAAATTAAATTATGGCTCTACTAAGAGTTCAATATGGCATACTGGGAGAATCTAAATAATAGATCGCTCTAAATTTTAAGTTTTTTTCCTTTCTTTTGATCACCAAAAACTCAATATCCTAATTAATTTTTACACAAAAAAGGAAAAAAAAACAGCAGTAGTACTCATAGAAGTAGGAACTAGAACTGGAACAGATGTTCTGAATATCTCCAACGTGTATCTTACTCGCCATATTCTTTTAAACACATATTTTATAAAAAAAATAATCAAACTTTCTCAGGCCTCCATATTTGATCTGAAAATAAAGTGATTTCTTGATGAATGTCTATTAAACTCTCTCAAAACTGTTTTGGTATGAAAAGATAAAGGCACATAAATTGATCAAACAGAAGGTAGGTTTGATCTATTGAGGAAAAAATTAAGAAATCCTAAGACGAGTAGCAAAGTCTGTAAAGATGATATTTTTCCAAGTAAATCCAGTAGAGATCTGGAAATATGTTGAATTATATACTAAAGTTACCGCGGCACATTTAAAATGTTCTGGTACTGTATCACTGTGGGGTTAGTAATGCTTCTGCTTACACACAAGCAATGATGAACAGAAAATATCTTGTTTTGACAACAGTGATTACTTTTGAGCTTGTATGGGATTATCTCTGTATGATAACAGAAATACCACAGCTTTAGTTCTAAAGGGGGGAAAAATTAAATAAGAATCTGTATGATTAAAAAGTTTTTATTTCAAACAGAAAAGTTAAAACTGTTTCTATAACTACAGATTGAGTATTATTTTGATAATAATCTAATATCAGTGCAACTTTTTTCCCCCCCATAATAAAAGTCGCACTCACCTTTTGATGGGTGAGCCTGCAATCAACTGCTTGGCAGAAAGTTTTAAAAGGTTGGGGTTTGTTTTCCATTCCAGCTTTTTTTTTATAACACTTTAAAACCCAACAGGACCAAGGTGCTGCACAAAAAACTTTTAAATGTTGTTTTTTTTAAACAGCGTTACTTTAATTCTGTGTTTTTCCTTTTGCATTGGAGCTAATTCCTTGGAGCAAAACGTGGGTTTGTTTTTTAACTACTGTAAAAATTTATTAACCTTCTTTTTGCAAGCTGACCATCAGTGTGCAGCAACAGGAATATTCTTACATTCATGTTTGACCTCTATACCAGAAGCGAAATCTATTTCTTCTTTGTGGAGACAGTTTTTGTCAAAGCAGGAAATGTAGCTTTATGTCACAGCTGTTCAAATTTGAATTTCCTTTTCTGCATGTTTCATGGTCTGATCAAACAAACAGACAGACAGACAGGTATAATGTACTGCTCTTTATGTACAGCTTGCTAACCTGATATGGATTTCCACTGCAGAATATTTGCAGAAAATAATGAAGTTGCTAATTCTGTTGCTAATTCTGGGTGTATTTGGGTTTATGGCGTCACAAGAGGTAAGGAATCAAGTCAATCAGCTGCATTTGTAAAATCTTAAAAAGAGGAATTGGATAAGAAATGATGGGGAAAAAAGAAAAGCAAAAAAAAATACATACTGATGTGATCTCACAGGAAGCAATGAACCTGGAAGCTTTTTTTTCTGGACATATTTTATCTTGAAGAATCAAAATGCAAACCCTGCATATGACCTGCTATGTCAGATGGTAACTCATAAGTGAAAGATTTTAAAGAAAAGTCCTGCTAACAGATTTAAAGTGTTTGTATTCTAAGTCGATCTTCTATAACATGATTTGATGTCAATAGAACATCCCCAACAGATAGTAAAATGCTTTGGCTTTATTATAATTAGTTGTGTGGGCCCTTCAGAATCCACAGAACAATTAAACTGTTTGGAGATAGGCTGTCACCATCCTGTTTGTCATAAATGTGCCACCTGGAGAACAAAAATAGTGATTGCTATTCTTATCCAGGGAGGAAAAATGAGAGTGAAGCCTTTTCCTGGGATGTAGTTAGGAACCCATTTTGGAAAAAGGCTATTCATGTCTCCACACATCTGCCAGGGAGCCAGTACAGGTTTCATTGCTTTTAGATCCTTAATAAGGTTGGAGCCACTCACTTAAAGGAATATTTAAATATCTATTTAAATGTGTTTTTTTGTTTTGTTTTGTTTTTGTTTTCCTAAGGGCTGAAACAATTCATAGGATTATTTGTGATTAAACGATTATTAAAATTATCGTCAACTAATTTAGTAATCGATTAATCAGTCTTTGGAGTATAGAGACTCTAAAACATGGATTATACTTAGAACAGTAATTATACCAAAAAAAATCATTACTTTACATTTAAGATAAAAAAAAAAAATTCTTTTGCAAACATGCTCTATACAGAACTCTCAATATATCAATATACATCAATGAAAAATACTCAAAAGAAAAGAAAAAAGCTCAATGCTTTCATCATCTTATCATCAGATTAAATAATGGGAAGAGTTGGTTTACTCCTGTTAAATTAATCTATAAAAAGACGCCAGATTTAATGGAATTTGTTGTCTCACTGTCTCAAGGAGAATTACATTTTTTTCTAACAGTATTTGTTGCATGACATCTTTCAGAAGGTCAAAGGAGTTGGGGGTCGAGCCTGCTTCCAGTGTAATAAAATCCATCTACGTGCTAGAAGACATATAAATGTTATCATGTTATATTGAGATTGAGACTAGGTTCTGCAACTCCAAAGATGGCTGTCAGAGGGTTAGGGTCAATCACTCTTCCTATGATGGCACAAAAAGGTTGGGAAATCTTTTGCCAGTATGTGGCTATCCTCTGACAGCGCCAAAACATATGGGCTAATGAAGATTTTGATTGAACGCATCTGCCGCATGCAGGATTCATACTAGGACACATTCTGCAGAGCTTTACCTTAGATAAAAGTAATCAATGAAGTGCTTTAAACTGCAATAGCCTGTCTCTTACACAGACTGAAGAGGAGTGCACCCATTTCAGACAGTCAGTTATGACTGATCCCAGGTCAGTTATCCAAGCTGTTGTCAGATGATTCAAAGAGATGGCACTGTTAAAACATGAGTTTATTGTAAAGAATCAAAATCATTCCCTTTGTCTACGAATGTTGTTGTTTAAGGGAATTTGTCATTTACAAAGGGATGTTTTTTTTTACAACAGAAACTGTCATTGCTAAAGTGTTGCTGTTGTTTTTTGTTTTTTTGTTTTTTTATTCTCCACCTGTTATTAGATGTTTATTGTACCCTGATAGTTTTGAATGACTCCACAGAGAGAGACCAGCAGAATTAAAAAACAGAAAGCTCAACTAATGGATTAACAAGAAACTCTGTCTTGCTCTGTTTTATTGTTGCATCTGTAATGATGCAACAATAAAATTGCCTCTCATTATAAAAACTAAGAAGACTATTCAGGTCAGAAGGGAAATAAGCTTTATGGGGATTAACCACCTGCAGCTAAAACTAATTCTGTTAGAAATGTGTTTTCATCTAATACATCAAACAAGCTTCTTCATCGCTGCTTAACGCAGCATAAATTTGGTGAAATTAGTTTTCTGCGTTAGAAATTAATAAATATAATTTTCCATTTGTGATTTATCCATAACACACTGTATTAGAAGGATAGCTTGGTGATAGGGAGGCAGTTTATCTGGAGCATTACAGTCTTATGGGGGCATAATCATAAATTTGAAAACTCATTCAAAGCTCCAAAGTTTTAGAAGTGATGAAATCCTGGTTTTAGATGATAATCTCCTATCCTGATATATACAGCACTCTTTTAAAGAGCTAGACTTAAAAATAACATTCAGACTTAAAAATAAAATTTCTCCAGTAAGTGGTCATCTAAATTAAGATTTTTTTTTTATGTATCTCTATATTTCTTTGAAATTTGACATATCAAATTTTTCATTTTATTTATTTTAGGATGTGGTATAACATGTTGAAAGATCCTAAAGAACTGCTAACTAATCATCTGCCATTAAACTTCAGATTAAGATGGATGGTATTGTCTTAACTGGAGTTTAGGATCTTTAAATCCTGCTGATGGAAATCATTACAGTTACCTACCATACTTAACGGTGTGGGATTAAGGGTCTTCCTCAGGGACCCTGAGTGGCAGTCTGTGGCAGTGGGGCTTGTACTCAGAACCTCTGGATTCCAAGCGCGATGCCCTAACCACTTGCCCCCCACTCCCTGTCTAGGCCGCCACTTCCTAGGTCGTCTCTAGGCTGTCATTTCAACTCTTTCACTTGATGTTCTGTTGTGAATCCTCAAGATAAACTCTCAGAACAAGCCACCATATACCTATAGTGATATGTGTCCTGCAGGGCCAGCTGGTTCTGCAACAGGTTTTTCCCCTGTTGAAACTCTAATCAAGACTCTACATCACATCTGCAAACATCACATTTGCACTGCCAACATGGCTATAATGTTGGTAGTGCACAACACCAACATTATAGCCATTATAAAACAACACAATGTTATACTCTATTTTGCACAATATTTATTTTGCACTGCACTCAACCTCTCTATATCAATACCTTTTTTGTACCATGACTTTTAAACTGTTTTTTTCTTTTCTCCTATGCTGTTTACATTCTGATCACTGCTGCCCTTTATAAATGGCAATGTTCATTTCACTGCTGTAAGCTGCTCATTCACTGTTGAAAGCTGTTTGTATCAATATTTCGTTTTGTTTACACTTTGTGTATACAAGATGACAAAAAAGTATGTCTAAGTGAAATCACACAAGTGAATGGATCAGAGGTCATTAATTTCATTAGTTTTTCTGATCACATTCACCCCGGCTTTGTTTTCTCTGTGTTTGCAGCAAAGTAACTGAGCTGTACATGGAAGCTATATATGGATTTAGGTAAAATCACACCAAAATACACATTAGCAGTGATAATTCTGAGTGAACTACTTTATTGGCCATAGCATATGGTTAATCCATTGGTATAATGATTGTTTTATAGTGTAATAAAATCAATGAGCGTACAGAAGTACAGTGTTTACTAAATTTAAAACGCGTAGGATGAAAAACTAAATGGGTACATAAACCGGTCACGCTGTGCTCTGAAAATAAGTCCAAGGTTTAACGTTGGATGCCTGCACCTAATGATGGTACTTAATTATTTAAGACAAAGATTGTTCAGTGTTTCTAAATCCCAGCTATTCAAACCGGTTATTGTCCCACTTGTGATGCCATCAGACAAATAAACACAAAGGAGAATAAGCTGTCTTTTCTTTCTGCCCGGTTTAGAAAAAAAAAGCATTACAGACAGTGTACATCTGTTAGGCTCTTCATCAGAGCAGCCGTGTGGATGTTTCACTGCATGTTTGAAGCAAAGTTCTCCTTCTGAGTGGACCTGTATCAGACTGAAAAAAGATCACAGAGGAAGTGCTCATTTTATAAACTGTAATATTAAACTTTGTTTCCTGTATTCAAAAAAAGGTTTCCTAAAGTTAAATGTATGCAAATATAAAGACATTGAGAGCGAAATAGTTCTGTGGTGTGCACAAGTTTTTTGAGACAGCACTTTTTTTTTCTGCCTGGAAGTGTGGTAGCTTACACACACTCTGCTCAGCATCCTGTTCTGAAATAAGGAAGTAGTTCGATAGCTGTCGCTGACAGTCGATGTTACACTCATTTGCCGCTTTAATTTCTTCCCTTCAGTAAAATTTCCTGTTGAAGTTTCAGAAAGGAGAACGCTGGTTTTGTGTCTGCCATGGAGATTTTCTCTCTGGGATTTATCCGTGTTACCTGATCGTCTGTCTTCACGCCAGAAGCTTCATGCGTCCAGTCCTGTTCTGATGTTTGTGTGTTGTCTGGATTTATGTGTGTGCAGTGCCCCCTAAACCTGCACACCTGCTCGCCCTTGGGCAAGACAAGAAACCTAAGAGGATCCCCCCGGCACCCTCGAGACCTCTGCCGGCACCCCCTCCTCCTCCGAAACCAAAGCCTTGCCTGAGCGCCACTGGCCTGGGAGCACAGCCGCAGAAAGAGCCCCAGAAGGTTGGACAGCTCATCGAGAGGTTTAATAACTCCAGGTGAGGAGATTTAAGTCATTTATGGAAGTTAAAATATGCACTTTGAGGTGGTTCAATGAAGTCACAAAGTATGGTGTCAGTGTGAAGGGGATTAGTCATCTTTCCTGCTATTTTCTTTTTCTTCAAATAGTATACGATACAATCAACATGCATGACCTCAGCAATATTTGATGGAGTGTTTCTGTGCACAACTTGCATGAATATGCTTTGATGAAAACAGCTCTGCTCTAATGTTTATGGCCATCCCGCTGGGATGTACTCACCTCAGCCTCAGGTTTTCTGCAGCCGCTTCTGGATTGCCCACAGCACGATGCTGCCACCTCCATGCTTCAACACTGTTTGTTCAGGGTCCTGCGTGGGATCAGCTTTTCCTTAACCGGTAGCATTTTCAATGATGGCCACAATTCTAGTTCCAGTCTCATGGGACCGCATTATCTTCTCTATCCTGTTCTTCTTGTCCCTTACATGGCTTGTGGCAAACCACACACAGAAAATCTGATGTTTCTTTTTTTTCCCACCTAAACTCTGGATCTCGGCAGCTTCTCCAGAGTTGGCCCTTTTCACTGATTAATGGTGTCCTTGTCCGGCATGTAGGTTAATGTGGGCGGTAATGTCGTGGTAGTACTGGAGTCGCACCATGCTATATTTTCAGATGATGGACTTTATCTAAATGATTGTCCTGTAACACAGTTGGAAGTATCAGAATAAAGACATGCCAATACTTTTTAGATATTTATTTGTAGAGAAAATTGTGTTTTCCTTGCATTTCACAAGCCGTGCTCTTTTGAGTTGGTATCTCATTACTGTGTGTATGTGCTTTTGGTGGCTAGATATGATTATTATTACCTTTTTTAGTTCCTAGTTGTCCGGCTTATTAAGTAGTGTTTCATTATATGTTGTTTTCCTAGGGTCCCCATCCTGGGGGTGCTCCCACGGTCGCAGCTGCATCTTTGTCTGAGAATGGAAACTGCGTCTGACCTCCCTCCATCCTGCAGCCCCAACACCACGGCGACAGTCACAGGAGACTCCTCCTCTGTGGACAAACTTGCACTTAGCACCTCCGAACGAACTGACGACGTGTCCGAACTCTCACATCTCGCCTCAATGCACATCGAAGCCTCTGATGACGGCACGCTGGACAACTGCGTGGAGCACGACATTACACAAAGAGTTGACTGCATCGACGATGCAGACTGTGAACAAGGCTCTTCCCACAAACTCATGGACAATTCTGACTCCTCACAGCAAAACGGGAAGATTCCCAACCGTGACAGCGGCATCGACAGCCCATCTTGTGCTGCTGATGGGGAGGTTTTCCCGAACGAGGACGCCATCGATGAGGAGGATCATTACGACAGCGTCACCGAGACAGAGAGCGTGTCCTGCTGCGTCACAGTGGACAATAAGAGGGACTCAACGCAGGACGAGGACAGTGACTTGGATGAGGGGAGCAGCGGGGAGATCCAGTCACTTACGGACACACAATCTGGTTTTCTGACAGATATACAATCAGACGCAAACAAAGTGAGTACCATGCACTTGTATCCCAAGCAAAACGTTCCCACAAAGACAAGAACATCTAATTTGAAGCTAGTTTTGCCGCAGCCTGTCTAATTCTCTTGTAGTAATTTTCTGGATTTCTCGGAAGGCTAAAAACTTCATTTCTGAATCTCAGACTGCCTTTTCACGTCATGGAAAAAAACAGTCTGTGTCTATTATTATCCTAGCTTAGGTGAACCGTTTTAAAGAGTTCTCCATGAAACCTTAGATGCTGTAAAAGCTTGAGTTCTGTAAGTGACTGACTCCTACCAAAAAGCAGCTCTTCCGTTACATAAAGGGATAAATACCTGCCTTAGAGCTGTAACAGGAGTGGACTTCCCAATACCAGCACACAGGCTTAAGTTTTCCCACAGCAGAAATAAGATTTCAGCTTCACTATTGATTGTAAACAAAGCCTATACCTGAATACGTAAGAAAGTGTTTTCCTGAAAGACAGGCTTTTCTGTAAGTACCTTGGAAGTTTCTGATTTCAGAGAATCAGATGGGACAAGTTTTGTCTATAGAGATTAGAAAGCGTGCAAAGAAAAACTTCCGAACTAACAGGAAATGTTTGACACCTCTTGGCTGCCATTTCTCTCTAAAATGATTTCTGAGTAGTTAAAACACACCCAAAATCTCACACAGCTGTCACATGAAGGGTTGAGCCGCTGCCGTCTAAACACACCCTGGGTGTTTTAGGGGAAAAGGGCATCGCTGCTCCTCAGCGCTTCCTGATCCCGACACTGCTGTGCAGAGGAAGGGTGTGCAGCTACATGTTGCTGGTGTGTGTGAAAGTGTCTAATACTGCAGCTGACATGTTGATGGCTGCATAATGACGGCCTTGTCACAGAGGATGTGGGTTTTTCAGTGATGCACACTGAAGGAGGAGGACTGAAAACAGCTCCTGCTGACAATGTGAGGCCTCCACCTCACTAACGACCAATGTGCTGTAGTTTGTTTTTAACAGATCAAATATTGCTTGTAGTTTAAAGCTGAGTTTTGATTTTTGTGGTGTCTAACTCTCCAGCGTATCCCTATTAGTTTTGCCTTGGTCATTTGTCATGCGGCTGTTGTGAAACCCACATTGTTGCATCAAGCTCAATCTTCCATAACTTCAATGCGTGTCTAGCCGGTGAAACCAGAAAGGATTTTGTCACCAACAACAACAACTCAAACACTTTCCTGTTTATTGGACTGTTGTCTCAGATAGAGAAAGAGGAATAATGTTTTTCAGTTTCACTGACGAGGCCATTAAACACACCTTTTGGTTTCAATGGTTGTCAAGTTTACAACAATCTACTGTACTAAAGTGGCACAAGATTGGATAGGAATTGTCAGTATATATCAGCGTATAATTTATGCAAGAACAATGATAAAGCATTTCTAAAATATTCCAATATACATTAAGTGCATGATTATAGCAGTTGTCACTGACTGAGGTTTAGGGATTTATGTAGTTTTATATGTTTTCCGTTTAACGCAACTATTCTAAAATGTTACATCAGAAAATATTCATAAACATGTAACATGTAATACTGTATATCGTGAAATGAGTTTTGGCCGCATCGCCCACCTAAAACAGTCAGATATCCTCTTAGGGCATGTAAGAAACACAGCTGATCTGTGTTTTTAAAATAAAGTGAAATTTGTTTCCCCTCTGTTTCCTTATTGGTTTAAGGACTCATTTGATTCAATCTGCTGAGGCATCTAAGAAAAAAAATGTCCCTCTTTGTCAATATGCCCATATCCCCCGTCACATTTGAATATTTTTCATACAGACCCATTATGCCTTATAAATGTATTTCTAGATGCGTCTGCAATAACCTAACTATCTAGGAACTTGACTTCTCTTAATGAGATTCACAAGATAAAGCTTGACTGGTTTTCATTTGGCAGGTTAAAGTTCAGAAGGAACAATTTTTCCAGCATTTCAGGGGTGAAAATCCTGTTTATTCCGTGAGCTTCTGGGTGATTTGTTGATCTGCTTTTAGAGTTATTTTTATGGCCACCTAGGAAGGATCCTCACTGTTCCATGGTTTATCTTATTCATTTTGGCTCCAACCAAGGTCTTCTAAAGACCCAAATCCTTGGAGATGACATCAAAAGCCTCTCCACACTGATATAACATTAGCTGTTTATCGTATGCATTACTGATAGGTTAAGTAGTTATGGTGACTTATCCTTAGATACAGTATCAGTGTGTGCACACCTTTTGTCTTGTGTCTCTGTATGGCATTGTTATGGATGAGCATCTAACCCAGGGGTCTGCAACCTGCAGCTCAGGGGCCACATTGGCTCTAATCACACAAAATAAGAACTGTAAAGGAATTTAGGTTTCTACTTTATGTTGTTATGCAATATCTGCATTGCAATTTCTACAAAAGCAGGGTCACAGTGGCCTTTAAAAGTAATTCTCTTTTAGCTGTTAACTGTGTGTGTTATGTGCTTAATATTTTTAGGTGGAACCTTCTATTTATAATAGATTGGTCAGCATGACATATTATACAAAATCAATGATTGGATGAGTGGAAGGTTTACTGTATTGTTTGTTGCCACAGGTGTTGGTGTTTATCTTTGCGTTTATAGATTTTTCTGTGTTTCTCCTGTTTTCCTCAGTGCTCGGAAGGTCAGAAACTCCTGAACATCGCCAAAGAGCTCCTCCACACTGAAGAGGCCTACGTGAAAAGACTCAACCTCCTTGACCAGGTGTGTCCTCGTATCTCTTTTTGGCGGCGGTATGTTTAGATACAGACTGTTGAAATCAGATCAGAGCACTGTAAGCATAACTTTGTGAGGGTGTGAAATGTACAATTGCACCTAAAAGTTAAGCTTTGAGAGTGGAGAAGAACTCGTGGAAATGACTCATTATCTCTGTGCAGATTATCCTTCAGTCAGTCCAATTCTTCTGTCTTCTGTTTGTAATTACACTATGTGGCTTCTTTGCTACTTTGTCTCTCTGCTGTGTGATGAGAGTCCTATGCCAGTGGTTGAATTGTCTTCCTCTTTGCTAAGCCCATGTGGTGCAGCAGATAAACAGCTGCCCTATCACGGCACAGCGTTGGTTTGTATGTTTCCAGAGGGCAGAGAAGCCTCAGAGTTTGCTTCCTGTTTTTGTTCTTGAAACAGCAATACCCATTTTAAGACTACTATAAAGCCCACCTGGCAAAGAGATGAAAGTGAATGTAGGTAAGGGTGGAGGATATTGCTTGGGACAGGACAAAGGGTAGAATTGAATATAGATTTTGACCTCATGTTTTCCTCCCTTTAATATGTTGCAGCTGGGTTTCTTTGCTATTAATGAGAACCCCATTTCCACTTACATCCAGTTCTGCTTTTGTGCATGCTGTACAGAATTAGCTTGCATGCATGCAGGAGTCAACTTTGTTTTTTTTTTTTCTTTCCTTTTTTATTAAATGCAATTATTAACAGGTAAGAAGCCCAATGAGTGAAATTGTAATTTCCTGTAGAGCCCATCACAAGTACTGGAACCCTTGATACAGGGGCCTAAAACGACTTTTTAATTGCAACTCCATAATCGCTCACTTTTAAAAGTATCAAATATCCAGCCTATAACTTGAGTTTATTTATTCGGTTGAAAAAAATACCACCAGTAACAAATTATTATGTTTAATTAAGTTTTTTATAGTATTCCCATAAGATTAGTGCACTTTAAAGAGATTTTAATCCATTTTAGATTATTATACTATTCTTCAAAGTTGATCATACTTTTAACAAGTTTCTCAAATCCACTCTTCAAAATGCGACAGACTAGGAAGCATGCCAGGAAAAAGTAAAATGAACTAAAATCATATTTGTTTGTCACCCAGGATGGAGGTAATATTTCCTATAAACAATGGATCGTCTCCTTCAGAAACGTCTTTCTCCTTTTAAATCTAGAGTTACTGTCTGGATCTATTTTTATGCAGTGTGTTACCTGCTGGTTCTTGAGCTACTAATATGGAAGTTCCCAGGGTTGCCAAACCAGAGCGCAGCATTTGGCATTTTATGTTGGTAAAAAGAGCAACATCCTAAAAACATGGAAACCAGCATGAGAAATAAATGGTCTCAACACCTTTCAAAAGTATTTTCACAACACCTAGCTCGTCTTCACTTTTCATCTTGAATTTAGCTGCTCATCTGTCTTGACTTTGCAACTTGCATGGCTTGCATGAGGACTCAGGCCTATCTTACCACAATGCTCTGTGAAGTAAGGAACAAATAAAAAAGATCAGTTGGGAAGAAATCTAATAAACAGAGAATTTATCTAAGAAGCTAAAATCTGTGAGTTGAGCTTAGGAAAAAAATGTGAAACTGAGAAGGATGGTAAATGACTTGGAGACATTTTGCAAAAGGAAGTTGTTGTTTTTTTTGTATGCTCCAATCTTTAAAAATGTGGTAAAAGAACTCAACGTGCTGATAAGTAGTCTTGGTACCAATAATTTTGTTTGAAAATGAGAGGTTTGATTTATTATTCCAGGTGACTCTTCAACTTAAATAAAACATGGATTTATTCTGAGAATTGTCAGACATTGCTACCATAGCTACCTTTGATTCAGCTATTTCTGTTAGATTGCAAACATGCAGAAGTGGAAGGATGCCTTTTGTTTTCTTTCCAAAAAAAACCCTGCAGTTATTTACTCTGTGTCCAGCGATTCAGGGTTTAACTCAGATCGGGCCTTAGTGTTCAGAAGAAATTAAACAGTTGCAACAGATGCAGCAGCCTCCTGAAAACTTTTACTCTGGTATTTCTCAAAATCCTTAAACATTTCTTCAAATGGGATGTTTTAATATTCAAGGTGACAGTTTACTTGTACCCTCCTGAAAAAAACCTTGTTTCATTTGAAGCCTTTGCAGTAAAAAAGTGGTGCAAGTGTGTATCCTGTAATCAGGTACAGTCTGTAAATGAGAACATATTGGTTAAAAATCTAAAACACTAATGTTTTGATAACAACTTTTAATTTAAATGTACCTGTTTTAAAATGATCTTGTGTAACTAATACCAGATCTAAAGACTACTTCTAGGTAAGCAGCCCATACTAAGCTTATAGGATTATAAAAGAAATGTCTTCCCAGCTTTTGGTTAGAAAGAAATCCTCCATGAAGTTCTAATATTGTATATACAAACAATTTACTATTAATAATTGACAATTTTTTGATTTTACATTCATCTGAAGTACCAAATGACAAGTTTATTTTGTTGGTTTAAGCCTCATTGAACAAAGCATTTAGTGACAGGATGAATGCTGCTACGGCCAATATAATCAATGTGAATCCACCTGTCAATCTATCCTAGAGTCTTGTCAGCAACGGACCAATCAGCAATCTCACTTTGTTCCAAAGCGAAGCAGCCCGCCCCTGCTGGAGCTCACACTAATACTACATTAGCGAGGCGTAGTGAACATGGACATTTTGTTAGAATAGCCTTTCATTAAAGGATAAATGTCGTCAGTGGGGAACATACAATTTAGAGATGCATTTTCCAAAATGATTAGAGTTAATTCTATTTCCAAATACAAAAAGGAGTCCTGGAAAATATAAGATGGGGAAAAAATTTGCTGCCAACGGCATAACAAGTCCAGCGGCTTTATCTACAGTAGATACAGGTTGTTCATCTTTACAATATGTTTAGCTTGGAAGAGGCTTGTGTGGCTTAATTATGAAGAAATGTGGTAATACAGTATATGCAAGGTAACGTGCTGGTATGGGCTTTAAATAGTGATACAAAGCCTGATTATATACATGATACCCTCACCTTTATGTAATATATTCATTAAAGAGGTCAAAAATTCACCCTGGTAAATTTACTACAAAATAGTTTAAAAAAAGAAAAATATTTCCAAGAATTTCCACAGCTGCTTTCACTGGGAAACTCTACCTCAATGTGTTGATAACTTAATTCTTTTTTAATTATTTTTTCAAAATATATTTTTTACTGATCATGTTATTGATCTCGGGGGTAAAATGATCAGGTTATTCTTTACCTTTAATATACAACACTTGCTATCTCTTATTAGAGACATTTCAGATTTTAAAGATGTCTTTTTACCACATATTTGTGTTTCTGCAGGTATTTTGCACTAAGCTCACAGAAGCTGGAATCCCTCAGGACGTCATTACAGGGATCTTCTCCAACATTTCCTCCATCTACTTATTCCATGACAAGTTCCTCCTCCCTGAGCTCAAGACAAGGATTACTGGAGAATGGTGAGAAGTAAACACAGCTCAGCGGGTGTCCTGCAGGGTGATCTTAGTGTAAAGATAATTACAGTTGTGACAAGTTAAGTCATTCGTTTCAGTTTCAAAGGGTTGAAGCACAGGGTATTGTTATGCTTTAGCTGGGCGGTCTTTGCTTCCCCACTGATATCGCCCCATTATTAATCACACTTCATAATTATTCCTCTATGAGATGTTGGAAACCCCTAAAAAAAATCTGGTTTTCATCCAGAGAAGAAACTGTCCCAGAAAAAGTCAGGAATTTATGCAATAGTCAAGTAAGGCTGTGAAGAGAAGACATTGTTTTAAGAACTGCCTGTTGTTTCATGAAATACAGCTTTTTTTTTAGTAAAATGTATGTCTAAACATAGAATCTGACTGAAATAAAGCAGCTTGTAAATAGAAATCATGCATTTTTCATTGAAAAATTTGGAAATTAAAATCTTCTGCAGATATCCTCAGCTTGTCTTTTAAACCTCAAACAGACTGTCACATAGCTTTTGTATGGAGGGGCTGTTATTTGACAAACTGATAAAGTGACCTGGATAATCCAGGTCCAGCCTGTACAGAGATTAGTTCCAATCATCCAGCTTCTCAACCCAGACTGGGGGTTAATTATTCGCTTAAGTGAACAGGATGAAAAAAATCTAAGGAGGATTTTTTATTTGCTGGACCTGGATTATTCACTTCTGGTGATCTCTTAACTCAGTGGAGGAAGGAGGGGAAGCTAAATGCCAAGCAGGTAGTGCATGATAAAGGATATGGTTAAATAAGGATACAGTTTGATCTGTAATGCATAAAGCCAATGACGATTTGATTTGACATCTTTTTCCCTAAGGGAATCAAACCCTCGCATTGGAGACATCCTTCAAAAACTCGCTCCATTTATGAAGATGTATGGAGAATATGTGAAGAACTTTGACCGAGCCATGGACCTGGTGAACACCTGGACACAGAGGTCATCTCAGTTCAAGAGCGTCGTCCAGAACATACAGGTTTGTTTCTCTGGTTTAAAGTACAGCTCACTAACTGGTAACTTTCGCTGCCATTTGTTGTTAAATAACTTCATTTCTTTTTAACTTATTGTGGTTATTTTGTATTTTAAGGTCTGAATAATCATGGAATAGACTAAATTAGATTGCAAAAAGTTAGTTCCTTATATTGCTTCCAGAGTTATAAACATTTGCTTTGTAAAATTCCATGAACATAAATGTGTAACTGATATAACCAATGTATCATCGCTTGTTTTTATATTACTGGGAAAGAATCAATAGACATTTGCATAATTTACATCATTCCTGTTGTGGTCAGATGACGTCTGTTAACTGACTGTGTTATAAGTTTGGTACTTGGTAGCTTTCCATCTTAAAATATGTGTTTACAAGATGATAGATCCAAAGTTTTTTGCAATAGAAACTATATCATTTTAGAAAATAGATAAAATGGTTCAAATACGTTATGTTAGTCATTAAAAAAAACTATGCCTGGAAGATAAATGAGATCTCTTTTTGTTTTTTTTATTTATAAAGCTCTCTTTTAAGCTCTTATTTTCAAGAGTGAAATGTTGTTTACTTTGTCAGATTTAATTATCTTTTATATTCACCAATAGATTTCTTGCAGCCAGTGGTTGCTAGTAAAACTAGCTGGCTTCAAACCTCATCTAAAGCTAATAGAGTAACAGAGATGAGGAGGTGGAGCACATTTAAACCACCGTTTGAACCGAGTGACACTGAAGAACATCCTTTAATAGCACAGCAAACTTATAAAGTGTATTTATATGTAGAGAATCTGCCTGTTTAAGAAGCCTTTAATTTGCTCCGTCAGATAATTTCAATCTATGTGCAGACCTTACATTATAGTTGTACATGTATTAGGATGTCTTCTTTTCTGTGTGTCCAATAAATAAAATGCTCTGAATGCACCTTAAGTTAGAACTACGTTTGAGGAATATACAGTAATGCAATAATGCAACAGGTGGCTAATGATTTCAGTACCATTCAGGCTTTCTGTGCCTTTGTGACCTTCATCATTTTATGCAGCGCAAAGATGTTTTAATGGAAAGGTGGTCACACCAAAGAAAACTACAAACAAGTTGTTTGATTTCCAAAATGAGCCTTTTTTCGCATAACTTGTTGCTAAAAATGGAAATCATTAATGTGACTTTTATTTTGTATTTGCTGGCTACATTGCTAACTACTTGGGATCTTGGTTTGCTATGAACCCAAAGCAGAAAGTCACCAATAATGTTAAGTTTTTTGTTGTTTTTTTTTACTTCATTAATGGTCATATTATCATCATGTCATTTCAGCAATATTATCTCCCATTTTTTCTGATATAATGCAGACCCAGTTTTAACTGTAGCTCTTTGTTGCTTACCCTCAACAAAATTATATAAATTTACATTCTCACCTATAAAATGAAAATTATAATTATTACAGAAAAAGGTAAAGTTTTTGTTTTTATGTAGCATTCGAGAAGTCCCAGCAGTAAAGTGTGACTGCTAATGTAAGCATATGAATTCAAAGAGCTGTCCCAAAATGGTTTAAAATTCCAATTATGAAGTTGGAAAAATGTGGAAATGTGTACGATCTCCTATGCAGTTTACAATTTAGAGTTAAATTAAGAGTAGAACTTCAAAATCTCCATTTGTGCTTTATCCTCCAGAAACAGGAAGTGTGTGGGAACCTGACGTTGCAGCATCACATGCTAGAGCCGGTCCAAAGGATTCCTCGTTATGAGCTTCTGCTTAAAGACTATCTGAAGAAGCTGCCTGACGATGCTCTGGACCGCAAGGATGCAGAAAGTAAGACAGGATGAAACAGGGAGAGACGCACAAACAGACTGCTGCCAGATAAACCTGATTATCTACAGGCTCATGCCTTTTTTAATCTTAAGTTTTGTATGAAAATGCAATAGGGTTCCTTGAGCCTTTTTGATTTTTATTTCACAAAGTAACATTTGACCCAACTCAGGATAGTCATTGAAACAAGCACAGCTTTTAGGAACAAACTGTGGACACCTCAGCATGTAAGTAAACTGGAAATTAAAACATTTGCCTACATCCTGCGAAAGCTGTGAAAAAACAAAAGGTTCAAAATTCAGGCTTTGTTGTCTAAAACGAAAGTGTTTGAACTGCTGCAGATGCAGAAATACCTGTCAGTTTGGAGAGTCGAAACAATTAAAACCAACCTATTGGGTCCTCATTTGGGTTCTCATTTACTCATTTACTCAAACTGTAAAACCAATGCTTCAATCAGATTAAGCAATTCAGTGTTTTATAGTTGCACAGTATTACTCCTGACATCAAAGTTACCTGTAGAGACTATGAATCTGCTACAGATGTTTCCTCAGAGGCTGGTTATGGTTTTCTGGTGACAAAACAAAAACAAAATGAGTAAAGTGATGAATCAAATGTGATGAGTATAAAGCAGAAAAAAGATGAAATTTCACTTTTAATAACCGATCTGTTCATGATTGATGTCTTTTTCCTAAATACTTAAATACTGCATTTAACCAGAGACAGAGAAAGGAACATAATGTTATAATTGAGCTCATTGTTGTGCTTTAAACTGCACCAAGATCAGAAAGACGAAGAAAACTATTCACACCTGAGTCATTAACTGTCTAAAGTGACATAAAAACCTGAACATTGTGATTAATTTATTTGGTTTAATTCTACCTACATGTGTCACCATTTTAGATCCATTATTAAACTGGAACAATTTTACACTTAATCCATTCAGAAAATGGTTGGACTCAGAAAGGTAATTAGTTATTTATTTTATAAATTACTCAAATACCTTATGGCTTATTTGAATTTGCAGGATAACTCTGAATTTATTGTCCAACTTCTTCAGCTCTTACAGTCCATTTTACATCAACCCTGATGCAGTAATGACATTTGACAGTGTCCCTTGGCTGGTTAATAGAAACCAAAAACATTTTTGAAATCATCAGTAGCACAGGAATCTGGCATATTTCTGAACTCTTTAGACATGGAAGAGCTTATTTAATTATTGTCTGTTTGTTTTCTGGAATTGTCAAAAAGTTTAAATCTAGTCCAATTTATTTTATAATTTTTTTTTATACAATTTGATGAATTGGTGTCTTTTCAGAAGCTTAATGTTGGCTTTCCTTAACCTGGTTGTAATGTGTGTTTTGGGTCAGTGGTTCAGTTGGAGCTACCAATTATGTCAGAATTATGAAGTCGAAAAACCTTATTTAGTAATTATTCTTTTTGTACAATACATCAGCACAAACACTCCCAGAGCATAATGCTCTCTCTACGGTGCTTTAAGGCTTTTGTAATAGGCTCTAAAGTTGTCATCATGGACTGAGGATGAAAACCAACGGTGTCTGAGGTTAAAATTACCTTTTTACTGGAAAGTGACTCCAATGTTCTGCCATTTTCTAACTTGTCATACTCTGGGCTTTGGTGGTTTCTGGTTTATTCCTCAACCTTCAAACGATTTTGATCTAGGTCAGGCGGTTAAACCTTGGACACAGCTTGCGTTTCCTAGGGACAATAGAAATAACTAATACAAACCTCTGTATACTCAACAGATTCATTGTAGCAGACATTATAGTGAATTTATATATTGCATATCGTGCTGTTGCACAGATTTTAACCCAGTCTCATATTTTTCCCTGCATCTACTTACCCAAACTGTGTTTGTTTGGAATATCTAGTCCACTCCTGCAGAGAGGTAGATCATCCCAGTTGCTCAGGCCTCACTCCCCCACATGGCTGTCTCTTGTGTGTATGTAAAGTTATGATTAATACAGCAGACCTAGGTGCTCACAGGCATTTGTGTTAGACTCCCTGCTGGCTGGAAGCCAATCTAGTGCACACAGTTATCAGGAGGATTTAGTGATCAACCGATACACAACGGCTGTGTGCAGTATGACAGATGAAAAAATGTCAAGCTGTTTGAATTTTAGTAACAATTTTGCTATTTTTTTTTTTTATTCACTGTGTCTGTTTGAATTGCAGAGGCACTCGAGCTGATCTCTACTGCAGCCAACCACTCTAATGCAGCAATCAGGAAAATGGTAAGACCCTTCATTCTTTGATACCTCAACCATTTGCATTGTGCTGTAAAAGAGCTTGTTACCCAGCCAGACACTTTCTAAAGTTGTCTCCCTGTCAGAGACATTGCGCTAACCCAGACAGGAAGTTGCTGCTTCCTGCCTGATGTGTCATTAGTGAGATATCATGGCCGTGTCTCTTCAACAACAACAGTCCTCATCTTTTCTTTTTCCTGTACGGTGGATATACCTGCTTCTCGCACATCCTGTAAATAAATTACCAAATCATGTATGGATTTTTAAAAGGATACAATGGCTACTTTTCTACCTTACATTTGGCTTAAAGCTCCTATCCGATCTACTGTATCTTCTGACCCAAGGGCCTGTTAGATATCCCTCTCTCTGTTCCCATCATCATCCTTTTTGTCTTTGTTTGTCAGGAAAAGATGAATAAACTGTTGGAAGTTTATGAGAGGCTTGGAGGTGAGGAGGACATAGTTAATCCAGCCAATGAGCTCATCAAAGAGGGGCATATCAAAAAGATGTCTGCTAAAAACGGAACAGCACAAGACCGATACCTCTACTTGGTGAGAGGACTTTGTAATTATTGAAGTAACACAGACTGAGCGTGTTTTTTAATATCTGCTCAGCTCATTAAATACCTAATATCTTTTTTTTTTTTTTTTGTTGCAGTTCAACAACATGGTGCTATACTGTGTCCCTAAGCTGAGACTGATGGGGCAGAAGTTCAGTGTTAGAGAGAGAATTGACATTGCAGGAATGGAGGTATGAGCCTGCCTCTGCTTATAGAGTTCTTGAATTTTTAACTTGTTCTTCTAAGTTTAATCTACATATTTTCTGCTCTTTGTGTTTCTTGATCTCAGGTCCAAGAAAATGTGAAACAGAATCTTCCTCATTCGTTTGCCATTATTGGTAAACAACGTTCACTGGAGCTTCAGGCCAGGTAAAGCAAGATAAAATGGTTACCATGCAACACATGCATGTTATAAAATATGGAAGCAATTGAATTCATCTCTGTTTTAGGCTACAGGTTTGAGGTTATAAGAGTTTTGATTTAAGATTTGCAGAATGAACACATATCTCAAACCAAAAATTAAAAAATGTTCAAAATAAAAAGAAAAGAGTAACAGTTCCTGCTGATATTGAAATAATTACAGCTACATTACCTGTAATTTTAACCTATTATGTTTATCTTATACAGAGTCTAAAGCAAAAAATAAAACCTCTACTTTATTGCCAAAATTTACTCCTAGTTTTTGTTTTATTTATGCTGTTCTGCTTTTTAATGGGGGAACACTAATTGGTCAGGCTTCATTCTCAGGTAGTCTGCAGTCGGTTGCTTACCAAACCTGTCCCTTGTTTTTTTCATACTCTAGTTTTAATATGGTATTACTACAATAACTGATGTGAGTTGCTCTTGCATTTCACAGCCTTATGACACATTTTTCTCTCACAGCAGAGAGAAAGTGCAGCAGCCCCTCTTTTAGCCATCTAACTAGCATTGTTTAGCCAAACGGGGACAGGGCAGCGCTGCGGTACTCTGTACTAAAGCACTTCCTCTGATATCTAATTAGGTGACTATGCCGTTATATGATGGGAAGTGGTCATCTCCCTAAGCTAGTTTATGGAACAATTTATCCTAAAGTTCTCCTTTTTTTTTTTTTTTTTAGCATAACAGAACAATTTAATATATTCAAATCTATATATTTCCAATGTTTTCTTTAATGTGTTTATATCCATACATTTCTAAAGTTTTAGAATAGTTGAAAAAAAATCATAAGAAGGATGCAGCAAAGCTCTGGAAGAAGGAGCTCTGATGAGATTGAAGCCAAAATATATTGTGTTTGAGAACTTATGATTCCCAAAAATGAAACATAGTGTTGGCAGATTGATGCTGTGAGAAGGCTTTTTGTTCAGAAGGGACAGAAATGACTAATTAAATCAGTAAAAGTGCATAGGGTGGGAATAGTTTTGCAAGGCGTCCTTACATTTGATTTAACGTCTATTCTGTAGTATCTTTTTAGTGATCAATTCTTAATTCACTAACAATAAATTAATTTAGATCATACCCATTAACCTGTAAGGGACTATGTATAAAAATGATTCCACACTGACCATGATCAAACATGTTCTCTGAGTATTAAAATAGATTATATCATAGATCATATGTTTTTTTTATAATGTCTATAGTTTAATTTATTTTTGAGCAATAATAAAATGAATTTAACTTCCTGTATGAAGAAAGTGTCTGAATATTCTAAATATTTTTCATTTTCTGTGCTTGACAGGACAGCAGAGGAAAAGGAAGATTGGATTCAGGCAAGAATCACCCACCCACACACATCTGAGCTCACCATCTGAGTCTCCCTCTGGTTTGCTTTAATGGGGAATGGAGTAACTCTCCTCTCCTTGAATCCTTTTCTCACTCTTTCAGTCCTGCTGCTATAAAAGCTCTTTGTTCTAAATGAATTTTATTAGAACAATGCAAAGTGGATTAATAAATGTAGCCGATGTCAGAAGAGAATAACTGTTTTTAAAGCCAGGCTGAAGAGAATATGACTGGTATGTAAGCTTGAGAGAAGAGCAGATTATCAGACAGGATCTGTAGAAAAGATGAGAAAAGTTATTTTATGCTCCATCCAAAAACTCCAGGTTTTCAAACATGTCCCTCTGTTCCTTCTGCCTTCCTACTTTCAGGTCATCAAGGCTACTATCGAGCGCCACAAACAAAACAGCGAAACATTTGAAAAAGCTTTCAACAGCTCCTTCTCCCGTGAAGATGACCATGTGCCGGAGTCTCCGGTGAGTGTGCATCTCCCCTCCCTCCTTAATTACTGCATTTTTAAGTCAATCTGAGGGTCATAATGTCCAGTGAATCATGGAAGACAAATGATCCACCAAACGGTTCTGTCATAGTCTGGCCTTTGTCTGCCAGATCAGCTCTCCATCTATGGATGTGGGGAGAATCACACAGACAAAACACTCCCAGAAAGAGGCTCTGTATTTCCACGTGTAGCGTCTGTGAGTCTCTCCTCCCAGAGATGGCTCATGACCAAATAGGGAGAGCACAAGTCAGAGTTTATACTGAACTGTTACGGATCTTCTTTGACCCACTTTGTGTTGGCCTTCACTGGATACAAGCCAAGTAGTTTATTTAGTGTACAGAGAACCAGATGCAAGAGTTCCAGACTGACACCTAGTGGTAGAAATAGATTATTGCAGATTAATTATCTTGCTCAGTTTCTTTTTATGTTCCCCTCAGGGTACATGGCAGAGTTCATCCATGGATGTAGATGGGCTTCATGAAAGGGTAAGATGCTGACTTTGTCTGTAGTTTTATAGCTGCTCAGACTTTATTCAGGCTCACTTGATTTATCCACAACAAAACTAATCTCACTGGAAACCTGCTGATGAGGATAAGATGGAACAATTGTAAATGAAAAAGAAAAAAAACTCCCTCCGTTTAGAATGTAGAAATTGTTTTTCTTTATAATTCAGCCCCTTGTTTGGTTTCCATTTTAAAATTACTTGGTATACAAATAATAATGAACATACTAATATGCCTATTGGGCCCATATACGCAGTTAAAGAAAAAATCATATACATCTACTATGTTGTTTAAATCAATTACAAAATGTTTTACACATTGCATATATGTGTAAAATAAATATATATATATATTAACGTTATCATTTATCACACATTAGGCAAATTAAGCCACAATCCTACACCATAGAAACTCATATTTCACCCTTTAAATGAGTGATCATAATATATATATTTTTTTTAAATGAAAATAGTGGATGCAGTCAAGGTATACTGTATGTACAGTGAAGCCTTTATTACACAGAACTATAGAAACACACAGGTGCATTCAGGTTCTGCTGCAAAGATCTGGATGAAAAATTATTTCTTAGCTTCTTCATTTAGTTGAAGATATTTCCCAAGATAGCTTGGAAGCTTGAACTCAATGTGTTGCTTAAAATTTTGAGTGGACACGGCTGACATAAAGACTTGTTTGTTAATTTCCGGTGGGCACAGCTTGCACAAGTTTTTTTGTTGTCCGAGTCTTGCTTTGTTAGTTCATAAACTTTGCCAAGCACTCTGCAAAACTGGCATCAGAAATACCAGAACACACCCACATATGTATATTTTATATATATATATATATATATATATATATATATATATATATATATATATATATTAGGGCTGGGTAAAAAAATCGATTTAATCGATTTTGAATCGATTCCTTTACATTTTTGCAAAATCGATGTCTAGGAAATTAGATCGATTCGTTTTATAGTGACGTGCGGGACGTTCACATTCAAATGAGCAGGAAAGATGCACACAAGATTACTTCAAGCCAGACAACTGCAAATATAGCCAATAGGTTGACTGAAGACATTAACAAATGGGGCTGACCAGCAATGACCCTATAGTTGTTACAGACAACGCTGCACATATGGTTTGTGCAGTGGAGATAATGCAGCTCATGCACGTCTGCTTGCTCGAGTGAGGTTTCACTTTTTCACTTTTCATAAACAAGTTTGCACTTTTGAGATAGTTTTGTTCACATCTTATGTTTAAAGTGTCCGATTTACAAGTTTGCAGTTTTTTATATGACAGGAAATAAATGAAATACATGAGTATTCTGAAACACAGCTGAACCACTTTCATTATTGTAAAAACAGATCGAATCGAAATTAATCAATTTAGAACTGTATGAATCAAAATCGAATCGATTCATGACTTTGTTGAAAATACCCAGCCCTAATATATATATATAACTGAATACCTGAACCATTATTATCATTTATATGCCTCGAGTATTCTGTAACCTTTAGCATTATCATTTATATCTATCTGCTGCAGTGAGACGCCATGTATCAGACTAAATATGTAAAACAATGCATATTGTAACACATTGACACAGAAAACCAATTTTGAGTTCCAGTTGGTCATTTCTAATATCAACTATGCATAGTTTCCTATTCCACTTTTGATAGATTTTCCAGCTATTGTTCGCTATTAAAAAGCTGCATACGTTAACATTTATCAGCTCAAAATGGATAAAGCAGGTAGTAAAAAAACAATATAATTTCAGTGAAAGTTATAAACATTTTGCTTTTGTCATCTTCAAATTTTGTTTTTTCATGGGAATAAAATATTTAGGGGATTTTATTTATTGTTATAAATCATTTCTAGGTCAAACTGATAAAACAAAGAACACCTTTGACTAGATATACAAGACATACATGAGTTTCTTGCTGTGTGCACAGAGATTAGTCTTATATCACCTGTCATTCCCCATAAACTGTCTCTCTTAAACAATAGTCGCAGGGGAAAAGGTCTGAGTTAATTTTTTCTTTTTGACCATGTGGGTATTCTCTTCTGACTGTGTTAACAGAAATATGAAAAGGAAAACAAACAAAGCAAGCTGTCAGACATACCTTCCACTTTACTTGTTGCAACACCTTTACACCTCCCCCATTGTTTCTTTATTGCCATTATTTTTAGAAGAGCTCCAAGAAAAAGGAGAAAGAGAAACAGACGTGCCGAGGCTGCAATGAGAGCTTCAATTTCACCAAGCGCAAGCATCACTGCAAATCCTGCGGAGCGGTAGGTGCAGATGGAGCCGTTTGGCCATTGTTTGGGATAAATGAACATGGAAAGAGTGGGAAGAGGTGGAAAATCTAACTTGGACTCTCAAACTTTGTGTTTTTCCAACGGTGTCTGTCTGCAGGCCATCTGTGCAAAGTGTTCAAAGACCTTGGACAACAAAACGAGCCGAGTGTGTCCTGTTTGTTTCGACGCCAACCATGGCCTTGAAAGTAGCTGTGGTGGTGAGCAGAAGAGAAAAGCTGCACCAGAGGTAAAATAAAACAAACTATGATGCATTTTAAAGAGAGTGGCTTCGAATTTTAAGAGGAACAAAAAACATATACCTGGTTGTAACTCAAAAGTGTGTGGTATATATTTATAGTATGCCCTCTGTGCTCTGATTCCCCTATATAGAATCCCATGAAACAGAATGGTCATATTCAATTTTAAATATAGGTGAACAGAGTCCCCCTGTGTGTAATTTAATGTCAGTATAATTACAGATGTTCTGCTAGGGTGTCAGAGGTTAGAGAACGTTGATGAACAAACACCATAATTAAGACCAAGGAATACAGCAGACAGGGCAGGCAGAAAGTTAAGTCATAAAACATGCAAGAACATCTAAGAAAGCAAGGTGAGCATGTGGCACTTCTGAAAAACTACCACGACATGGTTGTTAACTTCTGTAGGTTAAAAAAGGGAAAGCTGTGCATCATTATCCCACAGTACCAAAGTTATGCACTGCTGTATGCATTTCATATAACCCAAATAAAAAACCTGGAACATGCAAAACTATTTAAAGGTTATAGGAGTAGGAATACCTTTGTAAGGCACTGTAAAATAGTATGAACATAAAATAGAAAGATAACAGTTATGTCTCCTACATGATCTTATAAGGTGAGAACCCTATGATGACTAATATGCTAACAAGATATCAGCCGTAGACTGGCTCAGTTGTCTCTGCTGACATGACAGTCTAGCAGCTTCAGGTGTCTTAGCGAACCGTCTGCCTGTATTTCAGACATGCATCTTCTCTGTGTTCATCATAAACCTACAAAAGGCCACTAACTGCACTGTTAACTTCAGGGCATTACTGTAAAAGTCACACTTTTGTGTTTCACATTTATTTTTTCGGTGTGTGTATTAATGGCAAGACTGTATAGCCTGTTTTCAAGTAAAAACTGCAGGGACAATGATCACCACATGGGGGAGCTGTAGATTTCAAGAGATTTACACAAGTGCCACTGTGGGTTAAGCTCCTGTCTCTAAACAAATCTCATTATGTCCTACATTGTTGTTACATAAGATCGGAGGATCTGACCTCTCCAATAACTCATAACATTTAAATTCTCCTCATTATTAAACAGATACATTTGATTCACAAACTCATTGAAATGAAGCATTTATTCATGATTAAAGTCTTTAGGTGTGTGATTCAGAAAATTTAACCTTTGGGGTTTTTTCCTTTGTCCAGAGGCAGATGTCCCTGACAGGAGACAGCTGCCTGCTTTGCGGCTATCTTCAAGTTCAGGAGAAGGGGAAGAGTTGGACCAAGATGTGGGTGGCTGTAACAAAGACTGAGCCACTGGTGCTGTACTTGCAAAGCAGTGGACAGGTACCACACCTTCACTCACCTTAGAAAGTTTATCAAAGGGTTGAATTTAGACTTGAAAATTTTCCCTGACCTCTTTAATAATTATTTAACTTCTGGTAAATTGGACCAGGAGAGTTTTGCTTATTTTACCACAAAGAGCTTTCATCCCAAAGAAAGTATGTATAATCAATAAACAAAGGAAAAAAAAATGTCACACTAAAACAGTTTTTTGTAATTTACAAACAAATATATAGTAAAATCCTCCAAGCTGATTTGCAGGGCGACCTTAAAATAAAATGTTTCCCTAAGCACTTAGCCTTTGTATTTGAGTTTGAATTGTTTCTCCTATTTATGATACAAGACTGTGTAACAATGGGTCTGAGTTGTTTTGTCATTTTGCAAACATTTAATTCTCATGAATTATCATTTTCACCCAACATGTATAAAGTTCAGACTTGTTAACAAATCATTTTATACACATTCCTTCAGGTAATATGTATTATTATTTTGTTTATTTAACAGACTACCTTTTTCATGAGATATGGAGATGTATTATCATAGCAAAGCTAAACCATATGTAGATCTTATTAAGTGAAACCTGAGCCTGATGCTCCCACTACTTGACATAGTTCTTGTTCAGAACAAAAAAAATGGTTCTTAGAGATGATTTTCTTTCAGATGTTTACTTCATTTGTAAAACATATAGTCCCTAAGTTGGTAATGAAAAAACAAAACCGAGAATGCGACCAAAAAACTGTTAGGCGTCAATTTTCATCTTGTTTCTGTAGAGCCTTGCCCCTTTTGTCATAGACCCCACCCCCACCCACATCAGCTGAATTAAATAAACATATTAAAAACCTCAAATCCAACAAAGACCCTACATAACATATAGTTTAGCCTCCTACAGCATATTTGTTGTAACAACTGCTTTTGATAGTAAATCATACACTAATGAATTGCCTGCATATTTCCCTTGAAATGGAGCCACATCTGTGAAGAAAGTGCAATGGCTTTGTTTTTAAGCCTTTATTAATTTTTTAACGTATAAAATTAAATGAAATGTTTTGCCTCTTTAATATCATCTTAAAGAAGCAACAGTTACTAATCACAAACACTACCAGTATGGCGCCTTATAGAGGAATAAAACAACCTCACACTGTGTGGCTGTTTCATTTGACATAATAATGGAGCAGTTCAGGTCGATGGAGCATCCTCAAGCTGATTTTAAGGGTTTGCTGAAATGCATTATATTTTTTTTCCCTCTGTATCTCAATTAAAATAAACATGTTGTGATTGCTTATGAATCTAAAATGGTCAGAGCTTCGTCTAAGCTGTTGTTCAGATATTCAGTTTCAGGGCTCATCTGCTCACAGAGCTTTTAATTCCTCTATACAGGAGCTATAAGAGTAAAGCAGGATTAAACAGCCGGATTTGAACGTTACTATCATTAAACGGGAAAGAGTTGCTCCCTATGCTCAGTTAAGATCCTGCACACATGGAAAGAAAAAAAATTCCTATACTCTAATTACACAGCTGTATATCTACATCTAAGCACCTAGGGTTTCATATATAGACAGCCGCTGTTTGTTTTTCTAAAAGCTTTAACCATCTGTGAGGTTTTCAACTACTGATGCTGATATATATATATATTTATTTGCTGGTTTTATTCCCTATAGAGGGCACTAGAGGGAAAATCCTCTCTGTGTTTCATTTCTAAGATTAATGTCACCCTCCCACAGCTGGGAGCTGCCATCCCAAAGATTAGGATTAATGGAAGATGGAGGAGCATTTCCTGATTCGACATAAAGAAAGAGGGGGTGGGATAGGACTGGACATCCCTCATGAAATGCAAATGCATCTCAATGAATTCAAATGTGCTCTAAAACCTAATGTGTTTCAATCTACTAAAATCAAAAGCTCAAGTGTTACATAGATTCAACACACAGAGAGTCAGATATTTCACGTATTGAAATGGGATCATGTCTGATGATTACGGCTTCTAGCTAATGAAAACCCAGTTTTAGAAAATGAGATAATCCATTCTGACCAATAAGAATAGTTTGCTTTGGGTTTCTTTTCAGAAAGGTTGTGTAATGGCTCTTTACAATGTGGGTTGGCCACTGGACAGCACAGTGGAATGAAAAATTCTGAAAGAAAAATGAGCACAACAGGGTTTACCTAATGTAAAGGAAAGCCCTCTCTGGAATTTGGGGCAATCCATGGCTTATGCAATATCTGATGATAATTCACTCCTGAACCTGACATAACATGGGAGCATCCTACACTAGCACTTGAAATATACAGTTGTTTTCACTTTTTGTGTTTCATTAATGAAAGAAATTAACTTTACCATTCTATTTTAAGAAATCGAGATACAGTTGTGTAGTACATACAAGCTAAGTCGTAGTTTTTCCAATATTTTCTTTATTTGTTTTTTTGTTTGTTTTTTTCAGGATTTCAAAGGGTCACGGGCATTACCTCTGCCCGGCTTCGAGGTGAGTGCGGTTCCGACGGCCACGGCTGATAAACCAGAAGTCAAACACGTGTTGAAGCTTAGTCACACCCAGCAAACCTTCCTCCTAAGTGCCCAAGACCCTGAGCTTCAGGCCAAATGGGTGGAAGTCCTCTCCAAAGCTTCCCGTGGAGACGCATCCGCAGAGGCATTGATGAGCCTGGCTGAACACAGGAAGAGCCAGTAGTGGCCCCGCTGGAGCCGCTGGACTCTCTCCCTCTCCTGTGTACAAAGCACACATTACTTGAAATCACTTTACCTTGGCACTTTTGTTTTCCCTCCCCAATCAAACTCAGTCATATCTTCTCGACCACGGCTTCTCCCTTTTTCTCCATCTTCGTGTCTGAAAACACACACCGATACTTCGATGCCACTGGTCTGGATGTTTTATTTGTCAGTGTTTTAAACAACTGGAGCAAATCTCTGAAGAACATTTATGTGTAATATAACTGAAGAAGTTTTAAGATGAAGTTCTTGTACATTGTTCCACGGTGTCATGAAGCATTAACTCTTAGGTGTCTGTCTTTGCATTGGTGTGCATGTGTGTGTGTGTGTGTGTCTGAGCGCCTGAGTCCCTTCCTATTATATTAAGTATTCAATGCTTGTGTAAGAAACCCCTCTGTGGCTTTCACCTCTGCTTAAGGCACAGAGTCGATTTTGTGGATCATGTACAGTATGTGTACTATAATGTGATGTAAGGATTTAAAAAAAAAAAAAAAAGGAAAAAAAAAACATTTAACTTAAAACAAATACATTTGTGGCTGGCCACCTGATTTTTCCAGTTTCAGTACCCATCCCTCAGACCCCTTCCTGTCTGTTTGTGTTACTTTGGTACTGATTCCCTCCCGGTCAGTGTCACTGGAGTCTGAGATGTCTGGTTTGAGTGCCACTTTCACCCATTTTGTCCCGTGTTTGGCCTTAACATCACCATTTGTACACAGACAAAGAGAAACTCCATCTGTGCAGTTAAGTCTCACAATGACTCTCCCCTTTAGTGATGTGATGGAAACCAAGTACTGTACTGTTAAGAAAACATTTATTCTGCCTTTTTCCCTGTGTACCCTTCCCTTTCAGCACCAGCCTTTATATAACAGTAGCAAAAAATGTTGTCCTTCAGTCTCCTTTTGCATGTAAACTAACTCATATTTATATGCTGTGCTAAAAATATCTTCAATTTGTTCCTCTTTTTATGCTCCTTTTTTTTAATATGTGAGCAGAATGGTCACTGTCTTTTAAGGATTGTGCACAATGACAAAAAGAAAGGAGCTGAGCATATCATAAATAAACTAGCGGGCTCATTTGATGCAATGCTGTCCAGTAAGATCAGAACATGTCTCGACTTTCTTTTCATAAAATCAAAGTGGCTTTTCTTGTAAATATTTATGCACAAAATATATATATATTTTGTGGGACTTGGCAACAGGACAAACTAGTGAAGTCCTCAAGAGTTTTCTGCATGCTTTAGATGTTTTCCTCTTCCAGCACCCATGTTACAATCAATGGATCTTCAAAAGGCTGCTGAACGAGATGAATTAACCATTTTATAAGCTTTGTTATTGCAAGGTGACAAATAAAACATGTAGTATAGAAACATTTGAACTAAATGTGCTATTGCTTTTGACCAGCACAAAGTATAAGTGTTGTTTCTTAGGGAAATAACTGCAAATTCCATTCCATATTCAGTGTAAAACAAAATCTAAATTGGGACTAAACCTCTGAGAGATTTTTGCACAAATATGATAATTTGATGTATATTTATTGCAATAATATTTTAATTTAAAACTGTTGGAAAGTCAACGGGAATGTTAAACATCTGGGAATGAAATAAAGAATGAAAAAGAGCTTTTTCCTATACAGTCTGACTCAAACTCTGTCAATTATATATATAGTATTTTATAAACGGGCCTAAAAGGTAGAAGTATTTACAAATGGATCCCTTATCACTCACACCTTAAGACAATCATCAAATTTATAAAAAATACTAAATAACATTGAATTAAAGTTTTGCTATATTAACTTTGCTTTTATACCCATTACATATATTTAGGCACCTAGAATATATCTGAATTCAGACAGATGATATAAGCTAATTTCTCTCAGGTTTGTTGTTTATGAGTAGATGTAATATGCTATTGTGACTAACCTGTAACAATCAATGGAGGATTATAGAAGAATAAACAGAATTGGGTCCAAGAAAAACAAAGATATCATGTCACTGACTTTTAAATGAAGACTAAATGAAAACAACTATGTAAAAAACAGTACAGGATGTGAAACTAAGTGTCTTTCAATTCATGAAAAATTCTAAGAGGTGCAGAAACATAGTAGGAGTTAAAAGAGTGGAAGAAAATATAAAAAGCATGATTAGCATGTTGGCATATACTAATTTGGACTAAACTACGTGGTTATTTTAAATTTAGAAAATTCCTATTGCGTAATCTGATACATAAAAGACAGATTTAGTATGCAGGACGTAGTAAACGCATTTCTATCATTTTAGATTTGATCTATATCATACATGGTGATTCATTCCAATTGTTTAACAAAGATGAAAATGTCGGCTTTTGAAAGAAGCCTATAAATTTAGCGCTCTCTCTCTCTCATAACAGCATGAACATTTATGAGTATTTCATCAGCGTCAAGAAGATAAAAAGAATCTTATCTGCCACTTTGCTGTTTTAGGGAGAAAAAAGAATTACACATTTACATTCTAGCAGAAAATCAAAATCAAATTTGAGCCAGTTGTGAAAATTTCTATCAAATATACCAGGGCAGATTATTTTTCCTCTGAGGTTCTGCATAGGTCTGAACCCTCTTAGCCAAATAATCAACAAGGCTGGCTATAGATACCAAGTCCGAAATGGTGAACTATCAGCCACCTCCTGTGCATGGATGGCATCAAGCTGTATGTTAAGGGTGAGCGACACATTGACTCACTGATCCATACCACCAGGATCTACAGCAGGAACAACAGAATGTCATTCAGGCTGAAATAAGGCCGGATGGTGAGAAGGAGAGAGAAGGTAATCCTCACAGAGGGGATCACTTCCCAGAAGGGATAATATAAAATGCAGAAGAGAGCTTCAGGTGCCTTGGAATACCACAGGCGAATGGCAATCACGAAAAGGCCACAAGGAAAGCGGCTACTGCCAAATACCTGCAACGAGTAAAGCCGGGCATACACTTTACGATTTTTTTAAATCGTTGCACGCAGCTACAGCTGAAACTTTACAATGAAATTGCGGGGTTTTAAAAGTTCACAGCTCAGGATGTATGTTCTCACACTGTGGGGCCTGATGCTCTCATGCAACGGCCGACTCAACTTCAAACATTGTAACTATTCAGGTCTGATTTTTAGGAAGGCCATGCATCATACTGATGTCTTTCAACGTTTTATTCTCTCTCGCTTGTCGAAGACACTGTGAAAACTACAAAAATACAGAATATAAAAACAATAGCACATTTACAATAGCACGTTCACAAAGTAAATGTCTCTGACTACACAGATTTCAAAGAAAATTGGTCAAAACAAGATTAAACAGGAGATGGATCCTACATGCTAAATTATCAACATAAAACATTCAAATAATGAAAACAAATTACTGCGTACGCCTTTTAGACAGAACAGGATTGTCTTTTCCTCTTAAGTGGATTAGTAACGTTTCTGCAATGCTGGCAAGTTTCTCTGCCGCCATATTGGATTACCCATAATTCAGTTCAAATACACTAACTGCACTAGTCATGTAACTTTTATTGACATACAACTCAGAAACAGTAAATTAACTTTACTAAATCAATTAAAAGAAATATTAATAAATTATAGAACTATCCTAACCATAAACAGAATTTTTTACTCTTAACTATCCCCTGGACAGTTAAACATGTTTGATTTTCTCACAACCTTTCCTGGCACAATCAGGCTGAAAGTTGGCCTGATCGAAAAATTCTTGCACGACTGGAGAATCGGCCCTAAAAGGGCAAAAAATCGTACAGTATGTGACCGGCTTTAGGCAAGTTCTGAGAAGTCAGCTCAGTGGTAAGCGAGGTTGAGGCAATCAACAGTTACTGCATGTCAGTAATCAGATAACCTGCTGGGATTATAAATTGGTGTAAGGAAACTGATGTTAAAACACAAAATGTACTCACATTGCATGGTGGATTCCAGCCCAAATCCTGTATCCACAGACCATGCAAAGAAGGAAGCCTAGTGAGCATCAGAGTCACCTTTGAAGCTCAAACATCCAACCTCCAAGAATGCATCAGGAAGATGACCCCATGGGATGAATCTCTTAGGGAATGTCTCAGACGGTGGAAGCTGGAAATAAAGGAACTGGAGGAACTACCATGGGAGGAAAAAAAAAAACCTGCATGGGATGTACCACCGACAGATAGTTGAAGTGGCTGATATGACCAAATCCTATGTCTAGAGAAGGCCAGGCTGAAGGATAGCACAGAAGAACTGATCATGGCAGCACAGAGCAAAAAAGAGGCCCAGATCTACCATAGAAGATCCCTGGTTCAGGCTGTGCAAAGAGGCCTCAGAAACAATCCACCATCTCACAGCAGGCTGTAAGATACTGGCAGGAAAGGAATACCTGGAATGTCATAACCAAGTGTCTGGTACATCGTACAGAAACATCTATGCAGAATACAAACTGAAGACTCCTACATGTAGGTTAAAATTGGAGCCACCTCCTAAGGAGGTGGAGAATGACAGACCCAATATCCTGGTTGACTTCCATATACGAAAAAAATGTTTGTGGCCAACCAACCAGACACTGTGATCGCTGATAAGCAGCAGAAGACAGTCGTAGTGAACTATACGGCCATCCCAAATGATGGTAACATCAGGACAAAAGAACATGAGAAAAATACCAAGAAAAATTCTGGAAGGTGAAGGCAACTGTAGTGCCAGTGGTCTTTGGGACAAGTGGCTCCAGCAGATTCCTTGAGAAACATCAGAGTTCTCAGTCCAGAACTATGCTGTTTTAGGGACAGCTAAGATACTGTGAAGAACCCTCAAGCTCTGAGGCCTCTGGAAGAGGACACCCACCCCGCCAAGGAATGCGAGGGATGGGTGCAAAAGCAGTTTTATTTATATTTATAGCACCATGAACTAGTATCCGTAATTGGCTTAAATGAAATTCTATGGATGTGTAAAGCATTTAGAAACATACCCATAAGTATTGGTAGCTTTAATACCAACAAAAAGTGGCTCTACAATGTTTTGACTGAGGTTAATTATAAATGCTCACTGCTTTTTTTTAGAAACACATTTTTTTGTGTTGAAAATCATGACTCAAGTTTGTTCCATACCACAATAGAGAGAAAAAATAAAGGACCACTAATGATAGATACATTGACCATAATGTCTTTATTTTAAATTTGCTAAGTCATAACGAGCTGTGAACAAGATAGAATGGATGTTGTCTTCCTCTTGCTGCTATAATGTTGCAATGAGGACTAAATGCTGACTGCTTCTGTCTCTGCTAATTGGTTGGTGTAAATTCAGAGCAGAGTGGAGCAGGGATGAGGAATATATGATGGGGAAACCACTTGGAGAATCTTTGCTGTTTCATTTCCTTTTTAACAAATTGAAGTAACATTCCTCTCGAATTCAGAACTGAAACACTGAGCTAAAAACCTGAACCTCAGCTTTGCTTTGTTTGATGAACCATAAGACACAGCTATGCTTTCTCTTCCCCTTAAACATTTGCTATC